GGCTGTGAGCTTTCCCCATCCCCCTAGGGGACATGTCACTGAGAGAAGAGAGGTCAAAGGGATTCCTGAGGAATTTCTAAGCAGTCCACCCCCCTTCTCCACCCTCTGGAAAAATGAGGGGTGGGGGTCAGGCTTAAAGGGACGATCAGGCTCCAAGGGTTGAGGCTGACTCTCCCTTTTTCTCCCCCGCGTGGCCTGGCTGGGGCACGGCAACAGCCAGAGGCCCACGGGGCCACCCTCACCCGCTGACACGGTTATAGTTTTCATTTTGTATTTTGGAGGGAGGGGCTAGGAGGAACAGTCCCCTCACTGTAAGAGCCAGCCACAGGAGCCCAGGGAAGCAGGGAGGAGAGGAAACAGCCACATTAAAGAGGAAGAGAGGGGTGGGGGGAAGCAAGAGAGAGACACACTTACAGCCAGACAGAGACTCGGAGAGACGCAACGAGACAGGGAGACACTGTGTGCCGCCGGATGCGCGCTCCCAGTCCCAGCGACGCTGTTACCTGGGGGCTCTAAGATACGACCTTATCAAAATTCTGTCCCTAATGAGGAGAGAAAACAACCAGGTAAACTAAATGTCCAGGCTGGCGCGCCCTGCCGCCCTGGGGACAAGTCTTCCCCAGGAGACCTTTTCATTCAGCTGTAACCTGAGCCCCGTGCAAGGATTAGGTCTTTTTTAACCACTGCTGCACACCATCCCCCTTAAAAAAAAAAAAAAAAGGCAAAGCAAATTAATGCTTTTAAGTTAACAATTATCCTGGTTATCCAGTCTGTCTACTTTAAAATACACAGACAGGCACTTGAAAAACACTCAAAACCATGTACCCTCATGCTCACTCATTCCTAGTCACAGAAGCTTACCCACCCACTCATCCATACCAGCTCTCAAAGACACTAAAACATCTGTATACATGCTTAGCAAGGAAGTGATAACAGACACATACACCCACCTATGTCATCTATGGGTAATCGTGGTAAACCTCACATGCATGCACACACGCACACACACGTTCACCTGCACACTCAGGGCTCCCTTCTGTGTTCCTCCCCTCCTCTCCAGTCCACACCACTTTGGTTTTCCCTCTGGTGACTCTCTCAAGAATAGAGACAGAGGTCAGATATCTCCAGTGCTATAGTAACTCTTGACAAGATACTTGCCAAGGTTATTTGTATTTTAAAGACCCTCTAGAGCTTCATTTGAAAGCATGTGGCATTCAAGGCACACCTTCTGGCACTGGTGAGATCTTGGAGGTATGTTTGAGAGCCAAGGATGGCCACGGCTATGCCTATGGGTAAGGCTGCCCTGCCCGCTCATTAACCATCCTCTCTGCAACACTAGCGTGCAGATCTGGGACCAAAGATGTCCCACTAACCCAGCAAACCTGTCGTTAGGCAACTCTAGTAGACCAGGTTGACAAATGTCCTGAATAGTAGGGTTAAAGGTGACTGGCTTGGAATCTATGCCCAGCTAGACTCTGAGGTCAGAAGGAGGGAAGATGCCAGGCTAACTGCAGCCCAGAGAGATCAAGTGAGTGTGAGCTCAGCAGGGGGCAACACTAGAGTCTGGAAGTTCCTTGAGGGCAGGGGTCTCCACTGTCTGTTTCCCACAGCAGCAGCAGCAGCAGGATGAAATGAAAGAGGGAGCCCTAAAGTGCCCCGGAGAGATTCTGTGTCCCTCTGTCCCTGAAGGACAGTTGATCTCCCAGGCTTGAAAGCCTTGGCTTGAGGGCACCTGTCCCTTCTCAGACTCTCCATCTGCCCCAAGGACCCCCTGGAGGATACTGCTTGCTCCACGTCTTGGCTCCAGTCTCACGAGGCCACTACAGACACTGGCTCCAACTTGAAAGAGGCCCTTATCTTGTCTCTCGAAATCTGTTCCTTCCTTCAGACTAAACTCCCAAGCTAATTCCATGCTATGAGTAAGTCAGCATGCACTACAAAAGCCAGCTTTGTTTATGAAAACACAAGCAAATCCACAGTGGAAGGAGGGCTGCTCCCAGGCCGGGGGTGGCGGTGGTAGTGGGCGAAGTGGAACCAGGACCAGGGAAGAGGCAGTTTGGGGTTGGAAGGGGTAGGGATGGGGTCTGGTGTTTGACAGCAGAGGGTCTCTTGTGTTTCTGTTAAAGAACAGGTTCGAGGAGGAAGGGGGTAGTTGAAGAGGCAGTGCTTGGGGAGAAGAGGGTGCACGGATACAGCGCCTTTCTTTGAACAGAGTAGGAGTCCATCCAGGACACAGAGCAGCCTAAGAGCCAAGTGCTCAGGCTCCAGGATGCCGCAACCTGACTGCCAGAGACTCAGGCTTCCCCAACTCCCAAGTTCAACTTCCCCTTCTGGCCCAGCCACCTCCACACCCCAGCCTGGCGTCAAGGAGCCCCTAGGACAATAGGCAGAATCATATCCTCCTGAGTGAAGCTTTGCTAGGAGGAATTTTTTTTTTTTTTTTGTCCATATAAATCTCTTCCTGGGTGAGGACTCAATGGGGGAAGGGTGCAGCAGGAGGTCAAGGGGGAGGGGAGGCTGTCCCCAAGAGAACTGTAGCCCACCAGCCTGGTTTCTACCAGCACAGCCTTGGGACTGACCAGGCAAGGAGCCTGGGGTCAGAGATGGGGGCGGGAGGGCCTCCCTCTCTCTCTCTCCCTAATTCCTAGAGGGATCTGTCAGAGCTCCCCAGCCTGGAATTTTACTTTGTTATTTTAATGCAATTCTGACCTGGATTTAAATGGAATTGGAAACCCTAGGCCTTAATAAATAAATATTATGATAAGAAATGAAAGCCATGCAAGACGAAAAAGATTTCCCCCAAAGAGGCAGAAATGCGACATTCTTGCCGGGAGCCAGAATCACAGAAATTTTCTTCACTTCTTCAGCCCTCTTCCAACCAGAGGGAGACAAGTTGATTTCTTTCTTTTCTTTCCTTTTTTTTTTTTTTAGTTTTCCATAAAAGATCCTATTTTTCCTTAACATTTTTTTTTTTTTTCCTGATAAGACAACTACGAAATTTCTGTCTAACTTTGAGGAGAATTGGGGGCAAGCAGAAGAAATGTATGGCATGGCTGGAAAAGTTTTCATTCTTTCAGTCTCTCCAGGCCAAAACTTAAGTTTCTGGCAATGTTTGGGAGAAGAGAAGATTCTCTCTCATACTTCAGGAAGGCAGGAAGTCTTTGGAAGATGCTGGGGTGGCAGTGAAGTCGGGCAGCATTTGGAGGCGCGTGGGGCTCCCCAAACTTCTCACTCATCCGTGCTGCCCCTGTCTCCTCCAGCCTTTCGCCCGGGGCGTGGTGCCCAGAGGTCAGGTCCCCCACCGAGGAGGGTGGGCGCACGGTGCCAGGTCCTGACAGCAGCACGCTTCCCAGCACCTGCCCTGCCCCGCGGAAATCGCGCCCCCGCCCTCGGACCCTGAAGCCCCGGCGGCCCCGCGGCCGCGCGCCCCTCCTTCCTTACCTTGCACGGCTTTGCTGTGCTGGGCGGCGCGGGCGTGGACCAGCAGGACGAGCAGGCAGAGCCCGGGCACGAGCCCCGAGCCCATGGCTGGAGCTACGGGCGGCCGGGTGGCCGGGGTCGGTCTCGCAGCCCAGGGAGGGCGGAAGCGGGCCGGGCCCCCGCGAGCCGAAGGGCAGAGGGGCGGGGGCGCCCGGCCGGAGCCGGGCCGGGGTCTGTGGGCGCGGGGCGCGGACAGCGGCGCCCTCGGCGGGAGGCTACCAATGTTGCCGGCTTCTCCCGGCGCGATGCCCGGGAGAGCGAGGCGGAGGAGGGTGCGACGGGGCTGGGGGCGCCCGGCGCCGCTGACGGAGGGAAGCCCCCGCCCTCTCCAAGGCCAGCTCCGCTAGCGGCGGCGGCGGGGCTGCTCCGTACAATCCCACCCAATTCCCAGCTCCGCCGGGAGAGAGCTGCCGCGGAGAGCGCGCAGAGCCCGGGCGAGGGACCTGGGAAAGGGGAGGAGAAACGCAGCGCCAGAAACACGCCCTTTCTGCCTCTCTTTCTTCCTCTCTCGCTCTTTCTCCGTCTCTCGGGCTCCGTCTCTTTTTCTTCGCCTCTCTCCTCCTCCTCCTCTTTCTCCTCCTCTCCTCTCTCCTTTTCGTTTTCTTCCTCCTCCTCCCCCCCCTCCTCCTCCACCTCCTTTTCCGTGCCCTTTTTTCTTTCAAATGGGGCCTCGGCGCGGCGGCCGCTCCCCCTGCGCGCCCGGGCGCGGCGGCCCCCTCCCCAGGCTGCCGGGCCGCTGCCTGCAGGAATTTACAATCCGGCGCTGGGGGAGCGGGCCCGGTCTCCATGGAGACGGCTTCCCCGGGAGCAGGGAGGTCAGGCGCAGACCGCGCACAATCAATGGATCAATGCAAGCCCCGCTCGGCTCCAGACCAAACAGCACGGGGCTCCGGCTAGTCCTGTCTACCGGCGGAAAGCGCGGGGGAGCCAGGGTGCGCCCCCGCGTTCGCACGCGACTAGGGCTGTGCGACGCAGGTTTGCACGCACACCTACAGAGCAGACAAAGAGAGGGAAGGGTGTCGGGGAGGCCGGGGCAGACCGAATCGCACGGGCACTCCGGGACGCCCGCCGACACAGCACGACACGCGGGGCACAGCCACATAGGACCTCGGAAGGCTGAGAGCGGCTCCGACAGCGGCCGAGTTAATGCCCTCCCAGCTCACCTCCACCACACCCCCCACGCCCTCGGGACCCAGTTCCCTCGCCTAGTGCCTAGTCCGCTTTAATCGAGGACCAAAAAGAAAGTAGCCTTTTCCCAGCTGAAACTGCTAGCTCTAGGGCAGACTGTCCCGCAGTTATTGTCTCGCTCAGCATTCTCCCCATAGAGACCTGGACTCATGTGAAAAAACACTCTCGTGCTCAGCACGAGGGCAAAAGCTAACCCGCAGAAACCTGACTATGTGTGTAAACACAGACCCCCAAAATAGGCGCAACTCTCTCTTCCAAACCTGCCCTCCCACCTTCAAGATGTGGTCCTCACCAGAACATCCTTAAGCCTTCATCCTTCCAACTTGCAGGGGCAGAAAAGGGAAGATAAACGATATCTTAAAAAATAGGGGCAAAGTGTGCCAACGAAGCAGTGTCCCTGAAGCATGGACAACACCACCTGCTGCATATACCAGCTCTGCCTCTTCTCTCCGTCCATCCTAGGGGAAAGATGAAGGACTTCTTGATAGTGGTGAGAGCTTTTCTGGAGTAGGGAGCTTTGTTCGGTCGGAATAAGACTGCCAGGCCCTAGGCAGTCACTTATGCTTCAGAGCCAAACTTCTGCAGGATAGAGACCTTTGGGACCCAGACTAACCTCAGAGTCTGTCTTCAGGGTACCCTGGAGGAAGAGCTAATGATCAGGATCCTCCTGAAAATAACTCAGTCCTTAGACCCTTCACACTGGCAGCTGGTATTAGCTTGAGTGACAGGTATGCTTTGTCAGAGGTTTCCTTAACCCCCAGGGAGAAGAACGAAGCGGTTCCTTCGTCCCCTAGGGACTGAGTGGACAAGTGGGAGGATGCGGACTCAGGCATCTGGATTTCCTGTCCTGACTCCATCTTGGGTCGGAGATTACCTTTGGGCAAATCATTCCTCAGTATACCTCAGTATTGTCACTGAAAAGGAGGCTGGGTTAGCTCAGTGGTTGGAAGGAGACAGTGCCCTTAGGATCTCTAGGGGAGGAGGCCTTGAGAATTCCCTACATGACATGAGAGATTGCGGTTGGGATGGGAGCATGCAGAACATGGGGATGGAGTGAAGGCCACAAACGTTTGGGTCAGATGATCCCTGAGATCCCTTTCAGCCCCGTCACTCTAGGGCTCTCTCCCTCCTTCATTCCACTGGCAAACCCCTCCCCTCGAAACAGCTTTGACTGCTGCCACCAATTATGTGTAGGACTAGAGGACAAGTGCAAACCTGCCATCCTCTATGCCCCAAACAGGAGAGTGGTTTAAAAAAAAAATAGCATCAGAGGGTGCCTATCCACATGGGGGCACAGAGGGTTGATTAGCGCCCCCCAGGCAGGGAAAGGAGATTGCACTGTGCTTTTACCCACTCCAGTACTCTTGCCTGGAAAATCCCTTGGATGGAGGAGCATGGTAGGCTACAGCTCATGGGGTCGCAAAGAGTTGGACGCAACTGAGCGACTTCAATTCACTTGCTTTGTCTCTGCCTTGATTTGGACTCTGGTGTGAGCTCCTCTGGGTCCCTACAGAGGAGAGCTCCCTCCCAGCCTCTAAAGCAAGTGAAATGGGCTTGGAGGGTTCTGCATGAGCAGATCAATAGGTTAACTCAGACCTTCTCTCCAGGGCAGTGTGATTTCCTGATCCTCTGAGTGTGGACATTGCCCTGGCTTCGCGGGGAGGGAAGAGTGTGTGGCCCCACCTTAGCTGCTACATCTCTGGGAGGCTCAGTGTCTCTTACTCGTTTTCTTCCCCCCGCCCCGATTACTTTCCTCTGTTTATTCCTCTGTTCCTCTAGGAAGGTGAGCTTTCTCTACTTCTGGGCAGAAGAGGCACTTCCCTGCCCTGCTCCCCACCTTCCATTCTAGTCCCTGCCTACCCTCAGCCCTTCAGAGGAGTCTATAGGAGCCAGGTGTGGGTCACAATGCCCTCTGTCCTGTCCACTTCTGCAGGGGCTCACAACGGGAGAGTTACTCCGGATGGTGACAAGGAAGGAATAAGGAGATGGCTCTTGCAAGTGCTTCTACAAAGCAGCAGCACATGCCACAGCCTCAAGGGGGCGGCAGGTAGGGGGGTGCGGGGTGTGGGTGGAGTGGGGTGAGTAAAATGTCCCTGCATTCTCTGGGGTCTCCTACACTCGCCTCAGGTGGCAGTTTGCTTTTGGGTGCCTCTCTCCTTCAAGGAAATCTCTGACATTCACTTCGTTCTAATTACTCTTGCAAATGTTGAGGGAGAAGGGTGGGGCTGGGGGACCCACAGCTAGTATCTCTTAGTTCTCGTCCTGCTTCCAAGGATGCCTCTGCCAGGCCTCTGCCACCTTCAGGGACTTAGCCTCCCCTGCCAAGTCTCTTTCCATGAGCTTTTGCTTTTTCTCTCTCTGCTCCTGAGCTACCCCATCTGTTAAATGAATCTGGTGCCTCTATCTTGACAAAAGATACAGTCTTAATGGACAACATGCATGTACTGAAACAACAGTACCCCAGGGTCAATGTCAGGCCCTACCATTTCCCAGCCATCTATCTATTTTGGGTAATTTATTTCATTTCGCTGAGTCTCAGCTTCCTCATCTATAAAATGGGTATGCGCCTACAACTGCATAGGTGAGGCGCATCTATCACACCAGCCCTAGAGTGAAATAAAACTGCAGTTCAAATCTTAGCTGTGTGACTCAGATAAGTTAATTTCAGCAAGCTTCAGTTTTATGACAAAGGGAATATAAACCTCATCGGGCTATGGTGTTAACTGAATGAGCTAATGATTGGAAAAACCCTGGCACACAGTAGGCATTCAATAGGTGGTGGCTATTGATGTCATTTCGACTACTTCTCAGAAGGAACAAGGACCACAAATGTCTGGTGGTAAAGGCATAGTAGTGCCTGGGAAGGAGCAGTCTTGTTGCAGGCCAGACTCTGACCCAGCTGAGTATGAGTGCAGCCAACTGGGCTCAAGCCTCACCACCCTCCATAGATTCCTGTCTGTCACACATTCCTTCTGAGAAGGTTCCAAAAATGCCATGCATTCCAGCACACTGCCCTTGTCAGCAGCACTTCCAAACTGGAAGGTTGGAAGGAAACTTACCTGCCAAATAGAGCAGCTCTTTCCCCACCACCTTGTACCTCCCACCCGGCCTTCAGAAGGCACAGCCACTCTAGTGAGCGCTCATGGTTACTGTCAACTCAGAGCTTTCCTGTCTGCCAGGCGCTCCACCACGCACGCATCAGGCAAGAACTGCTAGCCTCATTCTGCTGGTGGGAAAACCGAAGCGAAGAAACGTCAGCCCGCCCAGATGACTGACTAGGAATGGATGAAGCCAGGATCTGGGACACAGGCCTGACTCTGAAATGTGTATGGCCTCCTCATTCTCTTTTCTGCCTCCTCTGAAAACACAGCAACTCAACATCTTCTTGCCACTGTTACAATGTAATCATCCAGCGTAGATCAACGCCTGTACATACGAGAGGCAGCAGGGCAGTACCCTTGTCCCGGAGGATCACACGGGTAGGATTTCAGGAGACTGAGAGGTCACATGACTGCCCTAGGTCACACGACCTAGTAAAGAGGCAAAGCTAGAAGCAAAATTCATGTCTCCCCTGACGTCTTTTTTAAGAAAATATATTTATTTTTATTGTCTATTTGGCTGTTCCAGGTCTTAGCTGTGGCATGTGGGATCAGTGATCTTTGCTGTGGCGTGGGGGATCTTTAGTTGGGGCACATGAGCTCTTAGTGGCATGTGGGATCTGGTTCCCTGACCAGGAATTGGACCAGGGCCCCCTGACTTGGGAGCATGGAGTCTTAGTCACTGAACCACCAAGGAAGTCCCTCCTCTGACTTCTGACTCCTGGATCAGTGCTCCTTAGTCTGTACCCTGAGAACTGCCAATCTCCCTCTTCCAGTTCTCAGTTTTCCTTTTCCTCATGATCTGATCGGTCACAAATCCTTCTGTCAAGTGGCATATGGTACTTATCCCACATCCTTCTCCCCAGTACACACTGTCCGAGGCCCTCTAGAATGTACAAAAGAAATCGAAAATATGATCCCCAATCACAGAGGTGTATCAGGGATGTCTCTGGTGATCCAGTGGATGAGAGTCCACCTGCAGGTTCGATCCCTGGCCTGGGAAGGTCCCACGTTCCATGGAGCAACTGAGCCCGAGCCCCAGCTCCTGAAGCCCGCGTGCCCGAGAGCCTGCGCACCTCAGGGAAGAGTAGACCCCACTTGCTGCAACTAGAGAAAGCCCACACTGCAGCAATGAAGGACCCAGCACAGCCGAAAATTAATTCATTTTAAAGAGGTGTGTCAGCACCAGTGTATGCTTTCTGACCCCCTTGTACCATAAGGCAAATCCCCAAATGCCCAGAGTCTCACCAGGAAGGCAAGGCTTGTATATGCAAAATAATATCTGAATGCAACATCAAGCAATCCAGACAGAGAGCGCCAGAGAAAGTCAGAGGAGACAGGAGTCGATCATCCAACTAGCTTCCGTGGACATTAGGAGAGATTTGGGGTAAATGTTAATGATACTTAGAGAGGGACAAGAGAGGAATATAAACAAAAATCAGGGACAGAGATAAAGAACAGTCAGAACAACAACAGTAGAAGAAATAGACGAAAGGAGTGGGGCACACGCTAGGTCAGTGGACAGGTAGACCCTGGGCAGGCCTTGTTTCCCACCTGCCCAGGATGGCTGAGCAGCCACTTGGACAGATAAGCAGAAGACTGGAAGTCACACTCTCTCAAAGTGTGTTCTGGCCCTGGGATTCTAGGAGTAGCTTGTTCCCCAAGGCCCCTGGTCTTGTCTCTGTGCAGAGGTCTGCTGGCAGTCCTGCCAGGACCTGCTGGGGGCAGGGAGAACCTGGTCTAAGCTGCCCGCACCTCCCCACTGGGCAGCCTCCTTGGCCTCTTATCCCAGGGTCGCCACCCCCCCCCCAGCCCTGCCTCCCTGCCCACCCCCACAGAGTCACTTTGCCACCTGCTTCCTCCCCACCTGCTCCCTGGCTGCTTTCATGAAGGAAGTACAAATCTCTAACCTGCCAATTGGCATGAGCACTGATGTGTGGTTCCAGACTTCTCCACATCACAAGGCAAGCCTCCAAACTGCCCCAAGCCTTCGCCCTGTCACCTCCGACACAGCTGCTCTTCTACACTTCGGATGCCGCTCCACCAGGCTCAGCCCCCTTATGTCCCAATCAGTGCTCTCACCTCCTGTTTCCTTGAGAAGCCAGAAGCCATCTGGCATGCACTTCATATCTCCCACCTCCCTGTCCCGCCACTGCTAGGAGAGGGGTCTCTCCTTTTGACCAAGGCCAACCCCCACATACATGCACAAGGATCCCACACCGTCTTGCCTCGACAGGGAACCAGTGCTGTCAGTTACCCCCTCCCTTTCCCGAATCCCTCACCTGGGTTCCTTCTCCTCCTGGAAACACAGTGTAACCTGCGGCAGGAGCAACCACAGGAGTAACACAGGAGCAACTGCAAGCTCCCCTAGACCCTGCTGCCTCTCGTCCTCCCAGTTTCCTGAACTTCTAGGAGGAGGGCTCCTGTTCTCCATCTCCCCTGCTTCCTTCACCCCTTGCCTTTGTGCAGTCCAGCCCAGGCCCTCTCTAACCCCTCTGCCAGGTCTCCACCGCCTTCCCCATCTCCATATATGAGGATGCCTGCTGGTCCATACCTATCTTGACCTCTCTGCATCATCGAAAGCCTCTGAATGTTTTCTTTTCCCTTCCTACATCCTTTCTTTCCCCCAGTATCTTGCCAGTCATTCCCCCTTCGATGGCCTCTGAAGCACTTCTAGCTTGGCTCTTTTCAGTTCTCACCCTCAGGGACCCTAACCCAGGGACAGCAAGGGTAGAGGGACGAATACTGGCTCTGTAGTCAGATGGTTCTAGGTTTCAATCCCAGTCCCAACAATGGGTGAGTTTGAGCAAGTTTCTTTACCTCTCGGAGCATAAACTTTCTCATCTAGAAAGTGGGAGGATGAAATTCTGACCTTGCTCGTGTTGGAGGGCACAGATAGGTCGCGTGGAAGGTCCAGCACAAAGAAGGGGGCAGTTTACCCCACACTGTGGGACATTACGGCTCCAATGGTCACCAGTGTGATGACCCCCAAGTCTACATCTCTAGCCCCCACTTTCCTTGTAACTCTAACTCTATGTGTCCAGTTTTCAGGCCCGTGTGTCTAGTGCTCTTCTCTCTTTTCTAACTTGCCCTGTATTTTTGCCCACGGAGAGAGATTTCCACTGGTATTTTTCAAGATCTCAAGCTGAACTGACCCCAGCCGAACGTTGTCCCTCTCCGCACGCACCCCTGACCTGTCCTCTTCTTGACCTCCATATAATGGCCCCATGACCACTCAGCGGCCCCAGCTGGCTTTCTCAGAGTCTGAAAAGACTCTCTCTTCCTCTCCCATCTGAGAGGTCACTGCATCCTGAGGGCGAAACCTCTGAAACCTCCCTCAGTTCTTTGCCTCCTCTCCACCCCCGTTGCTGCTGCCTCAGCCTCCAGGCGCTCAGCATGTCTCCCGTGGACACACACGGGCCTCCGTGCCAGTCCTGAGCCCTCTTCCCCAAAGACACTTCATGTCCCCCTTCTGATCTCACTGTCAGCACAGCCAAGCCACATCAGCCTGCCACATACCATGGCCTTGACAGCTGGGAAACCGCTACTGCCCTTTGAGATCCGGTTTAGATGTACCTTGTTTATGAGGTCTTCCTACGGCCCCCACAGGCATGGTGCTCAGTGGCCCTTGAAACCTACCCTGATGGTCCTGGGTGTGCTGCGCTCTAACGATTTCTCTTCAGTATCTGTCAGACGTTTGAGGGCAGGACCATTGTATCCCCAGCCCCGAGCACATGCCTGGCACATAGTCGTGCTCAGCAAGTGTTTGCCAAATGAATGAAGGAATGGCGAGCTCTTGGGAACCCCAAGGAGGGGGGCAGTGCGCCCCTGACCTGTCTCCCTACCTCCCACCAGCCCCAAGTTGTGTCACCTAAAGGACTGGGGGCAGCAGAAGGTGTTAAATGGAGGCTCAGCATGGAAGTCGGGGTGGCGTGGAGAGGCCAGAGTGAGGAGGCAGCACAGAGGTGCAGGAGACCCTGGGAGGGGGCTCTTCTGGCCAGAGACTCTGAGATTCTGGAAGGCAAAGAATCCGAGCTGGAACCTTCCAAGCCAGGACTGAAGATCTCCCCAAAGGTTTGGAGAACTGGATGATGACAATCTGGGTAAAGCAGCCAGAGGCAAGAAACTGGGGAGAGAAGCAATGATCTGAGGCCTGGGGCCAAGATGGATGAGGTGGGTGGGGACTACTGGCAGTTTCCCTCCCTGAACCCTGGGGAAGCAGACACAGGAGGGCGAACCCTCATCGTCTCTACCCCTTCATCAGGGATCTTTCATACTGATGCTTCAAATGTCACCATTAGAAGATAACTCCTTTGAGCTAAAATTGTATTTCTTGGGTCCCAAATACAAATATCCCTGTGAGAGATTACTCCTTTGTGAGTTAAAATGTTAGTTATCTGCTGCAGCTCTAACCGAGCCGTGGCAAAGGAGGGGCTACAGGGACACTGGCTGAACTTCTGGACTTGGCTGAGCAGCGGGGTTCGGCTTTGCTCCGCCTGCCCTGTTTCCTCATGGCTGTGTTGCCCCAGGTCTCCCCAGAGGAGAAGATGGAGAGATGGAGGAGGACTTGCTACAGGTATCCTGGATTAAAGCCAGGATGAGTGGAGGTGGAGGTATTGGGGCAAAGTTCAAGGTACTCGTGAACCAACTTTTAAAGTGAATTGCTTATCTAGGGTGAAACAGATCACCAGCCCAGGTTGGGTGCATGAGACAAGTGCTCGGGCCTGGTGCACTGGGAAGACCCAGAGGGATCGGGTGGAGAGGGAGGTGGGAGGGGGGACCGGGATGGGGAATACATGTAAATCCATGGCTAATTCATTTCAATGTATGACAAAAACTACTGTAATGATGTAAAGTAATTAGCCTCCAACTAATAAAAATAAATGGGAAAAAAAAATAAATAAATGAAAAACTCATAAAAAAATAAATAAATAAAGTGAATTGCTGTAAAGCGAAACTCGGTTCCCCCATTAGCTTCTATTGTTCTATTTTCCAAGAAGGGCCCTTACAGGACTGAGAATCCATTTAGAAGAAGCCGAAAACCCGTAGCGCGGAAGGGGTTGGCATCTCTGCCCCCTGTGCTCAAGCTGAGTGCTGAGGCCCTCACAGAGGGCGCCTCCCTTGTTTGGTGACAGGCTCTCCCTTCTTCATGCCACCACTTCCCCTCTGTCCTGAGCATCTGGCGAGCTTGCTCAGCAAAGCTGACAGGCATCACCGCCAGGCTGGGACTCCTTGGTGTCTCACCCTGGTCCTGCAACAACCAGTCTGCAGGAGCCTGAAGAAGAAGTCCTGACCTTGACTTGGGCCTGAGGGCTCTTGAGGAGAGATGGGAACTCCTGCTAGTCCTCTTCTGCCCTTACCTTCCCGTCCCGGCCCCTGTCCGGTCCTGCTCGGACTCACGGAGAAACTCCCTTGCTTCTCTTCGCCAGACCCAAGCTGTAATGTTACCCTTCACCAGTAGGTGCCGCCGTCTATCATACCATCCTCCAGTCTGGAGAAGTCCCGAAGCCAAACCTTGGGGAGCCTACCCAAGGCACCCAGCTCTTCAGACAATCTGCAAATGAAATTATTATAAATGAGATACTCCCACATTGATGAAGTTAAAATGTGGAATTGTGTGTTTCTGAATAACCACAGATTTCAATTTTTAATCAGTTTGACATTCATTGTGCACTTGCTACGTGCCAGGAACTTAAAAGTATACGGGCATTCAGAGATGGCATGGTTTCTCTTTTAAAGTTCATAATTACGTAGGAGAGCGAAATGTGCCTCTAAATAATTAGAATATAAGGTAGAACATGGGACTTCCCTGGTGGGCCATTGGTTAAGAATCTTCCTGTCAATGGAGGGGACATGGGTTCCATCCCTGCTCTGGGAAGATTCCACATGCTGGCAGCTGAGCCAGCAACTACTGAGCTCATGTGCCCCAACCACCGAGCCCGCACCCTGGAGCCTGCGCTCTGCAACAAGAGAAGCCGCCTCCGTGAGAAGCCCGCGCACTGCGGCCGCAAAGTAGCCCCCACTCCCCGCAACTAGAGAAAGCCCTCGCACAGCAACAAAGACCCAGGGCAGCCAACACGAAATAATTTTTTTTTTTAAGGCAGAACATGGTAAATACCCAAATACGGAGGTGCCAACATAAAATTCTAATGAAAGCATTAAAAGAGACAGATTAATTCCAGCTGGAAGCTTGGGGGACGACTCAGACGAGGAGAGGTTTTAAAGACAACCCCAAAGAATACGTAGACTTTCTCTACACAGAGTTGGGCGAAGACGGTGAGGGCTTTCCAGGTGGTGGAAACAAGGTGAGCAAGGATTTGAGGGGGAATGTCTACCAGGAATTAATGTGGTTTGACTAGGGTTTGACACGGGTTTAAGGGGCTGGAGAGGAAGATCTGAAAGGTGGGGTGGTGAAGAGCCTGTTCCCAGCCGGGGCTAACGGGTCGATCCTGGTATCCTGGCTCCCGGAACCCGGAGGACTTTAAGCAAGGCAGCAGCAGGGCTGGCTCCTGTCATGAGCTACCTTTCCATACCCTGGATACTTGATGTGCTCTGCGGGACTTCTTCAGTGTTTAGCGACTTTATCTCATCAAGGATGCAGGAAGAGAACAGAGAGCAGAAAGGCAGAAAGAAGGCACAGAAAGTGGTGAAAGGGAGGGAAATGATGGCTAGAAGGGAAGAAAAGATGGAGAAGGAGGAGAGGCAGCAGGGGAGGGGGAAGGCAGAGCCTGCCCTGGGAGGAGGGTCGGCCTGGTGCTGTGCTCAGGGAGCTGTCTGCACTTTTCCAGGCCAGCGGCCTCTGGCTCCCAGCCCCGGCAACCACAGAGGACAATGTGAGGCGGGCTTGTTTGGTGATGTGTTTGCTGCTGGCCCTGTTTGTTTGTTTTCTATTTTTTTTTTTTTTCCTGGCAGTGGATGCGTCTGGGGTAGAGAAGAAGGAGGAGATCAGCACTGTGGCTCGCAGTGACAGTGGCCCCCAGGCCAGGCTCTGGGCTGCTGGGACTCTTCAAGTGGGGGCTTGTGGGCATTGGAGTTGGACTTTGGATGTTCCTGGGAGAGGCCTCTATGTGGGCACCCAGAGCCAGGTGGTGGCTGGCCCAAGCACAGAGATGGTTTGCATCCAGCTCTTTGTCCTTGTCTTTCTCTACCCCGACAGGAAAGAATTAAAAGTCCTTGAGGCCTGGGCTCCTTGCCTGTGTGGCCAGGATGTCGTGCTGGGCTGGGGAGTCTGTAAGGGTACAAAGAGCAGCCACTTTCAGCTCAGCACTGGGGGCCAAAGGGGGAGTCCACGCGAGCCCGCCTGCTCTCAAGCCCTGATGATGAGTCTGGCCTTCTCTCTCCTGTCCCACAGCCCTTGGAAGCCAACCTAACGAGCACTATTAAAGTTAATGAAACACAATGAGTCCTCCGTTTGCTCGGTTATGACTCTTTACGAGATTGCTCCCTCTTGCAGAGGAGATTCATTTGAGCTGCCAGGGCTTAGCCTTTGTCCCCCTAATTTTTATTGGCCCATTAACAAGATCAGATGCCCTGGGCTGACCAGGAATATCTGGTATGGGTTCCCAACAAGCCCCATTGGGTCCAGTCTCAGGTGGCCTTTTGATTCCAAATTAGCCTAAGAACGGCCCCTGTTCCCCTTCTTCCTTCTGTTCCTTCTCCTCCTCCAAACCCAGTTTTCTATGTCGGTACAGCAGGGATTTGGGAAGAATTCAGAAGCTAGGAGATGCCTTCCATCTGCTTTAGAATGTGTCTCAACCCACTAATGGAGCAGCTCCCTCGTAAGAAATCCAGTGTGGCTTGAGGGCTTTACTCCCCATTAAAATGGAAATATACTGAACCTTGTTAGTAATTTGCATTTTGGTGTGAATCAGTTCATAAGGTCACGGATTGGCTGCAAGGGGATCTGGGAATCTCCAGTACTCTACACGGGTTTTTATCCCTGGTGTTCATTTTTCCAGAGAGAGGTTTTCTATAGCTTTCTTCAAAGTTTTCATGACACTCCCGCCCCCTCACACAGGCAGAAAACCTCTCTGGAAGTGGGAGAAGAGTGGTTCATAACTGGAGCCCAGAAGACAAACTGTCCTACCTGCTTGGCCAGTCCCACCCCTGGGAGGAACTGGGCCACCACCACCCCCACCCCCTGCCCCGCTCCTCTGGAGATACTTCTTCCACAGACCTCCCACGGTCACCAGCGCTCAGTCATGCCTTTCTGAAACCTTAAAACCAACCTCAAGCTGGGGGCAGGGGCAAGAGCAGAGCCCTTTAACTCTACTGATTTACATGGCAAGGCTGTAAATGATAGGTTCTCATGCCTGGTGTAAATACTCATAAACTTCACTGTAAGTGCCGGGCATCACATGTCTTGGGCACCCAGATCCTCTGCACACCCCATATAGGCCTGCCTGGCATTCAGGAGGTCAGGGAGGAGAGGAACGCTGAGCTGGCTGCAGCTGTCATGACAAGGTCACAGCTGTGACTACCGGGGGAGAGGGCATGGAAGCTAGTCTCTGCGACCCCACGTCCTCCCGGACAGAGCAGATGGCCCCTGCACAGTGATGCCTCAGAGTGGCTCCTCTCCTGCTCAGCTAAGGCTAACTGTTCTCACAGGTTATGGCATTGTCATCAGAAAGCCCCTGTTAAAATGCAAAGGGGCTTCTTGTGAAGATGAGTAGGGCTGGCTGGCTGTCCGTCACCCAACAGAAAGCAGAGTCCCCAGACCCTGGAAGATGAGGTTTGGCATACATGGAGAGACGTTTCCAGCAGATCAGTGTAATAGCTATATGACGTTAAGTGGCCTTTCAAGTAGTCTCTCTAATTCCACTCTTGGGGTCTGAGAGCCTGTTCTTCACATGGCAGCCAGAGTCATCTTCAAACAGAGTTTCACAACCTCAGCTCTCTTGACATGTGTTGAGGGGGCTGTCCTGTGCCTCGTTGGACGTGCAGCAATACCCTGGCCTCTACCCGCTGGATGCACCCCCGCCCGAGCTGTGACGACCAAACACGTCTCCAGATCCTGTCAAGTGTCCCTCAGGAAAGGGGGGCGAGGTTGCCCCTCCCCACCCCCACCCCACTGAGGATTTCTGTCATTAAGTATAAATCAGATCATGTCACTCCCTGTGAAATCCTGCAATGACTTCCCACTGCTCTGAGGATGAGATCCTGCTACTCGGCGTGGCCCCCACGGCCTCCGTGAGCTTGTCTTGTCTCAGGTGTGCCTCTCTGCTCTTGTCCACCGTCCATCACCCTTTTGTCAAGGGAAGCTTTTTAAAAAGATTTCCTTTTATTTAGAACTTTCACTTTACTTTTATTTAAATATATACACATATATGTGTGTGTATAGTAGAGTGAGAGAAAAACCAATTATTCTTAATTTATAAGTTAAGTTGTAAAAAGAAACTCCAATACAAACTGCATGAACCAATCTTAAGAATCAGACCATATTTATCATATATTTTCACTTTGTACTTTTTTGGTTTCCACTAAAATGCTATCATTGTGTAAAACTGAGACTTTGCTTTTATGTTGTCTTTGACACATGGAATTTTTTGATGCACCTAGGTAAGCCAAGCTTTTTTCTTGGACAAAACAGAAGATGGAGAGACACTGGCAAGTATTGGATATGTTTTGGAAGCCTTTTCATACACCCTTATGACAACTCATAAATATTTGACATACAGAGTTCCTTACTTTTGTTTGTCTTCTCTCCCCCATGAGAGCAGGGACAGTGCGTGGC